ACAAACTTATCTACAGTTATATAAAGAATATCATCAATGGTTGCCTGGAGGGATTTTTAGTGGTAAAGGGAGGACAGATTACAGAAGGAACACGAGAAAACTTTTGGGCTGATGGAATGGGTTATTATCTTGATTGAGATAGCTCCACAGGAGAATATACGCATCAAAATTTATCAAATGGTACAACTGAATTATGGGCAGTTTATTATATATCAATTACAAATGAATAAAGTGGAAAAACTTAAGTAAAGGTCATATGCGTTGAATATTATTTTCAAGTTCTCAACTTTTATTTCTTCAGTAGGCTTCTATAAAATAAAAGTCTGGTGAGCTTAAGGAAATACAGTAGGTCTCTTCTCCCAATTTGATTTTGGGCAAAATAATAGAAATGTACGGGGTTTTAGGACATTCCCAAATAGTAATAAACTACAGTTTAATCTGTAATAGGGAAAGAGGAGGAGAAAGAGAACTTCTGGACTTCAGGTGTGACAAGTGGTGGGTGGGAAGAGCAGGAAAGGAAACCAAGAATAAAATCTGAAAGGATACCTGGCCAGGGGTGATGACAAAACTGTGCCATCACATCTTGACCCACACGTTTATAGATTCGCTAAGGCAAGTGGCTCCAAGTGGGTTAAAATGTTACAACTTATGGCAGGTCCTCACTCAGGAAAATTGTTCCTCCCTGAGTTAGTCCTACCAGCTGCAAACTCCGTGGTAGGCGCACTAAATGAAGGCGGACAGGGTACCTCCCTCTACTCCCCTAATTTGCAGTAGGGTGCATCCCTTCCCGTTCTCGGTCGCCCCTGGTGGCGAGCACCCGGGACCTGCGGGCGCACGGGCGAGGCTGGCGGAAAGGTGCGGGCAATAAAGGTCCCTGAAATGGAGGTGAGCGGCTGGTACCTCCCGGTGCTTTCGCCGCTTCTGTCTCCTGGCACCAGCCAGGCTGCCCCGGAATCCGGTTACCCACACGCAGCGCTCACTCTGGCTCCTCCGCTTCTATCCGTCCTGTTCCATTCAGGTGTTGCCGCCGGGATTCTGGGTGACCTCCGGATTTCAGGACAGAACTTACATGCATTTGGAAAGGAGGGGGCGCAGAAGAGCTCTGACTGGAGAAGAACTGTCACCATTAGACCTCCACGTTCCGAAGAAATGGGGGAAGAATTCGGAAACTAGGTGGGTCCCTTAAATCCCCAACCCCCCCCCCCACCCCCTTAGAGTCCAACCGGCTCCCACCGTGTCCCACATATCGATCTGTCACTTTCCCACCTCTTCCAGGAGGTCGGAGATCGGCCTCACGTCCCATCGTCACCAAACCCTCAAGTGGCAGAGGGTGGGCAGTCCCGCCGCGGACCCGGTTCCTCTGCAGAGGGCAGCGTGGGAGGGACCTCGGAGGCTCGGGGAGAGGTGAGGGCCCGCGCGGGGTGGGGAGGGGTGGACTTGTGATAGAGGCGTTCGGCACCCGCAGGGGCGCCCACACCTCCAGCTTCCATCCCAGGCGAGGAAACTGCGTGACATTCCCGTTCACACCTGATTGACAGGAGGGAGTCACGGCCCAGGAAGCGGGTGTGGGTGTGTAGAGGCGGAGACAAAACCTCCACCGCACGCGCAGCGGGCCGGGGCCGGCGCTCCTAGACGGTCTGGGTCTGGGGCCACTATCCCCCCAGGTGCCCGGAGGCTTCGCGGAGCCAGAAAAGGCTGACGGAGTGTCCCCCCGCGGGGGCTGCTGCCTGCAAGAAGGGGGCAGGGACGCCGGCAGCCCCGGGCGTCACTTGCCCGGCAGCTTCGCCCTCCGCCGGGACTAACTCGCGGTTCCCTCGGGGCAGCGCGCGGAGATCGGCCAGCCTCCTCCCTCCTACTTGCAGCGAGCTGCCTCCGCCTCCCGCTGCCTCCACCCTCCACCTCTATCCCCGTCTGTCTGGAGCTGAGCTCGGAGACCTCAGTCGCCTCGAGCTCTGGAAGTGGGCGCCGGACAAGTCTACGGCGCCTCCCCGCAAGATGGACAGCCGCTACACCAGCACCGCGGGCATCGGGGACTTGAACCAGCTGAGCGCGGCCATCCCGGCGACGCGGGTGGAGGTGTCCGTCTCCTGCAGGTGAGCACGCAGCCTCTCCCCTCCCCCCTTCAGCCTCTCCTCCTGCCCTCCCAGCGCCCGGTTGGGAGCGCTTGGCAAGCGCCCGGGATACTCCCAGGCTTGGAGCGGGTGAGAAGTTGTACGATGAGTAGCCAACAGCCCGATTGTGGGTCTGGAGTCACCCCTGGGTCGAGCGGCCCCGGGCGGATAGCGGGAACTAGAAGCGAGCGGGGGGCTACGGGACGGAGACTTCTTGTTTTCTTCCTGGGGAAATGCTGTAAAAGTTGGCTGGGCTGTGACTCAGCGGGGAAAACTCCTGCCGCCGCCCACTTTGCAAGCCCTTTTTACGTCCCAAACCCGAGCGGTACGGTTGGGTGATGACGGGAATCGAAGGGGACGGCGTTGCCCAAAGCGCTCGTGACCGCGGCGCGCAGTGACCCGGGACTCCCCCTGCTAGGCGTCTGCAGCCCTGCTAGTGACCCGGTTGGCTCCAACCTCTGCGGCTTCCTCCCCACCCACTTCCTGGAGCCCTCGGGTTCGCCTGTCCCTCCTCCTCCCCTCCCCTTCCCTCAACACACTCGCACACACACTTTTCCGGGCTCTGCGCCTGCCTCATGCCTGATAGGTAGAGATTTCGGCTCCAGCCCAGTGGTTGCAGAAGAATCTGTGCCTTACTTAAAAGCTGGGAAGTCACAATTTTCTACCAGCAAATAGACACATTGTGCTTATAACAATCGACACCCTTGCCCAAGGTTCTGTAAATTTCAAATTCCTTTGCCTTATGTTCTTTGGGTCAGTTTCCCTGTAAATAAAGCAGCCCTCCTGCTCTAACGCAGATTTTGAGGAAATGGGCGGGCTAAGACTAAACTGATTTTAGCAAAAGGAGGGGGAGGATTTGCGAATTATAATTCACTGCCTTGTGGGCACATTTTGATCTCTCTCGTTGGAAAACTCTCTTCTCACGTGTCCACCTTCCGCCCCAAGATTGTTTTTCATGCCTTGAAATCCTCCCCTTCCTTTCCTGGGTAAAACTTGCCTTAAAGAAATCTAATAAACCTGGGGAATCTCCCACGTAAATATGACCTGGAGCTTAAAGTGCTGTCAACCTAGTGGTACTTGATTTTGCATTTTTACAAGACAAAGTCTAAAGCCAAAGGAATGATTTTTCTTGGGGATGGGGGTAGGTGGGGGGAAGGGAGAGGGGAAGGAATTTCAAGCACCAACCCAGGACTGAGGTGTTAATCAGCTATCTCTGAAACGATGTATAATCCCTTGATTGCTTGATTTCTCTCACTGCTGACCTCAAACTGTGGAAACAATAATGCTGCTAATGATAGCTAAGCATTAGCCTCTTGTCTTATGGTGTGGCCACAGTTTTAAGTGCTTCCACACATTTCTTTCTGTCAATTGAACAGGTGAAACTTTATGGAAAACTCTTTTTAGATATTAATTTCTAGGCCTTTGTTTTTCTCTCTGAAGTTGGTTTTGGATGCTAGAGGGAGGTTATTAATACATACAGACAATGCAGAGTCAAAAGTCCTACATTAACAGCATTTTCTAGAGCTCTTACCCTCTGCTGAACATCCTATAAAATCTGAATGCCATGTGGCCTGTGCATGGAATGGATATAAACATATTGTAAATTAAATCTGAATTTCCCATAAGCTCTTTAGGGTGATTATACCTTTAGAGAAATTATACCTTAACTGGTCTTTCTGCCAGTAGGGTCCATGTTTAACCACTCTGGGTTATTGTTGTTGTTATTGTGTTTTTTTCCCCCTGGATGCTTGTTTGCTGTGAGTGTGCTGGGAATCCTGAAGTCTGTTAGCTTTAAGGCAGTTTGCTTCAGCTTGCTACCTCAGACCCGGAAATGCCCTTGTTCCAGCCTTTTTTCAGATCACCGATTTGTGTCTTGTTTTTAATTTTTCAAATAGAAGAAAAAAAAGTTCTGAACGAGACCCAAGTACTTACATTGTTAAGAATTGAATCTTGTAATCATAGATGGTGGTGTCCTTTGGGCTTTGGCATAAGAAACCTAGGTATACATTCTGGCTTTGTGACTTTCTTATGTTGTTAACTTGGAGCAAGGTCTTACCTCATCTGCTAGGAAGCTTCCTCGTCTTTAAAATGAGGATAAATTATGGTATTTATCTTATATATTAGTAGAGTGTTGTCAGGAGTTTTTAATAAGATGATGACTGAAAAGTGCTTACACAATATGACACAAAGAAAGTGCTAAAATGTTAAGTTGTTATGACACTGGCAATAGTATTTATTGAGTAAGTGTATTATATGATTCACCTGTAATTAGTCCTCTTTCGAAGTTCAATAAATTGGTTAAAGAAGACAAGGACAGAAACAGCTTTGAGATACCTGTTCTTTCTTTTTCTTTGTTCTTTGGTGTGCATAAAAAGCATATATCCTGGGATGCTTGTGGGGATTACAGGGCACAGTTGTAGGCCCCTAAGCCTTACCATGTGCAAGCAGAGCAAAACATTCCCTTACCCTTTTCATCAGAGCCCTCTGGTGACTAGCTGACACAAGCAACTCAATAACACCCCTTTTGATAACCTCTTTTCACTGTCTCCAATCTAAGACTTTTAAGAACTTGATAATATTTTCATCTTCGTTTTGGGGGAGGTGAGAAAATCAACAATTGAAGCTTGAAGCTAAATATAATTCCTGGAAATCATTTTGTGTTCACTGTCCAAGTATTTGAGTGTCTTTTATATGTCTGGCATTACGCCATGCTCCATGAGATGTGCAAGAGAAGTTCTCTGAAAATGTAAAATCAAATCCAATGATGAGGTTCATGCACAGGGAGGGGACAGGTCATTGTGGAATGGAGTGTTTGGAATATACTACAATGAGGAGATGGGACTTGAGGGGAGACAAGACAAATGGGCATGGTGTGCTTTAGAGAAGGGACTGTATCCATGGCGGTTTTGTAGGGCTGCAAAATTGGTGCGTTAGGATGACAAGCATACCTTTCTTGCTGGGTTTATGTAGAAATAAGCTCCTGCTCTTTTGACATTCTTTCTACCCATTATTTAGCTCTTGGATTCATTTTTCTTTATGATGTTAATTCATAGATTTTTATGTTAATTGGGTTACCTAATTAAAATGTCTGTTGCTGTAATGATACAACATCAGAAACAGAAAATAACGTCTATAATATTCCCATTTTATTCTGAAAACAGGTGAATTAGAATGAGATAAAGCAGAAGCAAAAAATATCTACATATATATAAAAGCCTAAGCAACTGGTCAACCGATCCCCGCAGGGCCTAAACCAGCAGTCTGACATCTCCCAAGGGGTCCTGGATTGCGAGAGGGCGCAGACCAGGCTGAGGGACCCCACCAGTGCACGAATCCGGGCACCAGGCCTCTAGTACAGTAATGTTTTCCCTGGGACTTTTGTTTGTTGCACATTTCTAACACATCCTTTTGGTGATTTTTGTCATTTTATCTGAGAAGTTAGCAATTAGAAAGCATTGAGAGAATTCTGTATTTGTAAGCTTTGTAGCTTAGCTATCCTATGTAAATCCTTTCTCTGCAATAATCCTAGAATGGTGGTAAAATTAATTTTAAACATTAATGTCTAAGGAAGGGTATAAAGTGGGACTTTATTGAGCACTTACTTTGTGCTAGGCATTCTAAAAAGTCCTTCTTGACCTGGCCATAACTCTTTTGTCTAATCTCCCAGCACTCCTCTTATGTACTCCGACTGAACATAGTCTACCAAATATGTGTCAAAATGTGTTCCAGCCCTAGCCTGTTTGGCTCAGTGGATAGAGTGTAGGCCTGTGGACTTAAGGGTCCTGGATTTGATTCCAGGCAAGGGCACATACCGCACAGTTGCAGGCTCCTGCCCAGCTGGCCTGGTCAGGGTGCATGCAGGAGGCAAACAATCGATGCGTTTCTCTCACATCGATATTTCTCTCTGTCTTTCCCTCTCTCTTCCACTCTCTCTAAAAACCAATGAAAAAAATATCCTTGAGTGAGGATTAAAAAAAAAAATGTGTTCCAGATAAATGTGGCTGCAAAACACAAATAAGAGGTACAGTCCCCAAAAAAGTGCTGTTATCCTAGTGGACCAAATTCTTTTGCCTACCTGGCCATGGACATGCTGCTCTCTCAGCCCTGAATGTCCCTGACTCCCTTCCCATTCTTTTCTTGATTAGCTTGTGCTCTTTCAAGACTCAGGTCAAACATCATTTTCTCTTATGACTCCCAAGCTGGATTTTGCTGTCTTCCCACAGCAGCTGGTATGTAGCAATATCATAGTGTTGGTGGAGGAAAAATTTCCTTCTACCCTTCAAGGTTCTTCTGGCTGGTGTACATCGTTTTCAGAACTTTTCCCAAAGCTGCTGTTTCTTAAAATTAACCAGCCTAAAATAATCAATATCCCGAAAGAGGTATATTTTGGAGTGGCCAACTTATCTCCGCTTCAGTAGTTGCATCATAATTCTTAGTCTTTGTGTTCTTCTTAAGGACACGTTTTCTCTCTTTTGTGTCCATGTTGTTGAGGTAAGAACATCCAAACCTGTAAAGAATTTTTATAAGAATTTATTTGAGCCAAACAGAGGCTATGCCTGGAAGCAAGAACTCAACAGAATGAGAAAAATGTCTCTCAGAATGGCAGTCTGCAGTTTCTTTTATGCATTTGGAATTAAGGAAGGGACATAAGGAAGATTATATGAAAATGGGAGAAAAGCAAGGGGGAGACTGGATTACAGGATAGCTAAGATTCTGTGCTCTCTCTTGAGGGTGGTTATATTTCCTAGGGGTCTGAAAAAGGCATTTCAAAGGTGTGTCAAGCTAGATGCACAGAAACAATGGACAGGGCTTGTTTAAGGAATAGATAAACCTTTTAGTAGAGAATTTATATTTATTCCTGGGGCGTGACTATACACCATGACCTACCTAGTTAGGAATCTATGATTGGATTACTCTGTAAGGTTACTTTCTGTCACTGGACTTGTCAGTTTTATTACAGAACCTGTTTTTCATCCATAATA